AGTTTGGTGAAATATCTGAGAATTTGGATGGTTATCAAGAATTTCATTTTCATAGATGTTTCTTGCCCGACAGTCCTAGGGTGCCTCGCGTTTAGCGCTCGATTGCGGTAACAGATTGTGGTAATGTTTATAAGCCTAGAGTAGCTCGAAAGAGCATAGTGCTCTCGCCACGCTGCAATAACATTTACCACAAACTTTTACTACGGCTCGAATGTTCCTCCCTTGTTCCCGTCCTAACCCAGCCACTATGTTCTAACAATTGCCGTTACAGTCGCAATGGCACGCTTTACTGCCCGCGGAGGTGTAACTTGATACAATAACGCCCGTTCCGCGTCGTTTAGCCCGCCAGCAAGCCGACTTATATCGACACCGTTGAGAACCTATGAAAAACACCGATTTCTTCAGAGGAAGTCTCTTGGATAAATATTGTTTACCCCTGAGACTTCACAAATCTGACTTTTTGCATGAAGATCGAGTTTTTGATGCAAAGTATAATTTTTGTAAAAGACAAATTTTATACTGAAATGTAATGTTCAACTAAAACTTCAATTTTCTTATTTTTATATGAAAGACAAATTTTATACTGAAATGTAATGTTCAAGTAAAACTTCAATGTTCTTATTTTCAAATGAAAGACAAATTTTATACTGAAATGTAATGTTCAACTAAAACTTTAATGTTCTTTATTTATCTGCACAATTAGGTAGCACATTTGCCCAAAAAATTGTAGGTAAATTAACGAATAAGAAGATTTGTATCAGATGAGAAAATTTGTACTTGTATTAGAATTATGAGGTTCTCCAAAAAATTATAGGTTAGGGTTGACTCGATCGGTGTCGAAAATGCCTACTTTCGTAAATTATCCAATAAGAAGATTTGTATTAAATGAGAATATTTGTATTTGTCTTAGAATGATGAGGACCCTCAAAAAATTATAGGTTAGGGTTAATTCGATCGGTGTCGAAAATGCTTACATTCGTAAATTATCCAATAAGAAGATTTGTATTAAATGAGAATATTTGTATTTGTCTTAGAACGATGTGGTCCCCCAAAAAAATTATATATTAAAGTTAACTTAATCGGTGTCGAAAATGCTACATTCGTAAATTAACAAATAAGAAGATTTGTATTAAATGAGAATATTTGTATTTGTCTTAGAACGATGTGGTCCCCCAAAAAAATTATATATTAAAGTTAACTTAATCGGTGTCGAAAATGCTACATTCGTAAATTAACAAATAAGACGATTTGTATGAAATGAGAATATTTGTATTTGTCTTAGAACGATGAGGTCCCCTAAAAAATTATAGGTTAGGATTAACTCGATCTGTGTAAAAAATGCCTACATTCGTAAAACAACGAATAGAAGAAGGAGAAGAAGATTTGTATTAAACGAGAATATTTCTATTTGTCTTAGAACGACGAGGTCCCCCAAAAAATTATAGATTAAAGTTAGCTCAAACCGTGTCAAAAAAGCCTACATTCATAAATGAACGAACGAGATTAGACGAGAATACTTGTATTAGAACGATAATTATCGTTAATAGGGGTAATCGAGTGGCAGGTATTAAGTTGATAGAAACGACGATGATGAAGGGGACGGAAGAAGGGTTTCCGGTAGAAGATCTCATAGTCGCAGGTGATAAACCAAGGATTAAGCACCTGATGCGATAATACCAGCACAGTCCGGCGGGTCCGGCACGGTATGGGGAGAAAGCTTGCGGTTTACCACCACCGTGAGGTTGCGAGCTCGTATGACGGACAAAGGACGACAATTACAACCCTGCCAGCCACGTCAGGGTTTCATATAGCAGCGAACTGCTGATGGCGGGTCAGCTGCCCGTTTTGCTAGGCGCGCGTACATTCTAACGGCTCGTAAATCCTCGAACGATGGAACACCCTGCGCTGATTCTCGCGGAAATTCGAACGAACGCGATAATAACTCACCATTCGATATGGGGAAGATTGATTTAAGGGAAAAAAACGCCGGTTTTTTACCTATGGCCGGGCTCGATAAAATTTGGGAATTACAATTTTTGACGGTTGTAACTTGTCTGTACGTTCTTCTTTCGGGTTTTTTTATTAATACTTTGTTCAGGGGATGTTCGATGCCATTTTACATTAAGTATGATGTATGAGGGAGGAAAATAGAATTTGTATAATTTTTTTTCGTCTTAAGAGCATTTTAATAATTTCTGATTCTCAAAATAATGTTTGTAGAATTATAAAATAATAGTATACGTAGGGGATGATACGATAGATATATGAGGGATGGAACAAGCAGGAATTTGTACAATTTTTGTTCATCTTGACAAGAGCTTCTTAATTTCTGCACCTCAAAATAATGTGTGTAAGAGATATGATAATATACAAAATAAAATATTAATATACATAAGGATTATACGATAGATATAATAAGGGTTGAAACATGAAGTAATTTTTAAATTATTCATCCTGACAAAATCATCTCAATAATTTATGCATCTCTAAATAATATAATATAAGAGATAAAATACTGATATACATGAGGGATGATACGATAGATACATAAGGGTTGAAACATGAAGTAATTTATAAAATTATTCATCCTGACAAAATTATCTTAACAATTTATGCATCTCTGAATGATATAATATAAGAGATAAAATAATGATATATAAGAGGGATGATACAATAAATACATAAGGGATGAAACATAAAGTAATTTATACAACTATTCATCTCGACAAAAGCATCTCAACAATTTCTGTAAACCCAATGCTAAATCGTTGAACCTCAACAAATTGAAATACAAAGCCTGATATCATCCCTCCATTTTTAGGTTAGGTCGAGAGGTGCATATTTTTATTCGCATACAGTTATTGATTTACCTCAACAAAAGCATGCTAACAATTTCTATAAACCAATCGTTAAATTATTAAACCCGATCAAATCGAAATACAAAGTTTACCTCTGTATTTTTAGGTTAGAATCTTTTAATTTGCTATATCGTTGATATCAGTATTACCAATTCATTTCTCATGCATTTTTACAAAATTCAAGTCGATATTTCGACGAGAAATAATAAATAACCTTTCAATATCGAACAAAAACATTTATGAATAATAGAATGTAAAAAAATCTCGAGTAAAAGCATGAATAATGAAAACGATGAATAAATAAGATAACAGATGAATATTTGAAATAAATTATCAAGACATTCGAAACTTATAAATTTGGAAGACAAATTATTCACGGTGTTCGAATACCATAACCTGGTTGGAAATAATGTGCCCCAGCGAAAATCAATACCGAACGGCCTAATATTTCGTTTTCAGTTTCATCGTTCAAAAGGTTTTTGCGATTAGCGTCTGCCGTTGCGAAAACGTTTTATATTATCCTCGGAGGTTTTTTCGAGGCGAAATGTAGCGAAATTTAGCAGGGAACTCGAACTGGCCTGGTATCGCCGTGGAAATTGCAGCGCACCGTAAGCTGAGTTACGCGTTCTCGCACAGGTTAGCGAAGAACGAGTTGGCGGGCTCGCGTTTTTCCCTTCTAACTGTTTTCTCTCGATGCACTTCTCAGCTGGCATAAATACACCGGCGAAAAGCGTCTACCAAATGTTGCTGGTATTATGAAAACCCATAAACTAGCGTTCCGCTCGGTTTTCCGCTCGAAATCTACCGATCGATAGACGGTTGTATGTGAACCGTTTTAAACGTCGCTGCGTTTCGTGGCTGTAATTCTACACGTGACCTCGACCGTAAAATATGTAAAACAAGGTCCGTGTTCCGTGAATTATTTTGAGGAACCTTTAACGTATAAATTCTGGACGACGTATCAATTTCCGCGGGGGAATTTCGCTCGATATTTTAATGGAAACCATTTTATTCGTCCGTTGGCAAACAATTTTATCGAATAATCAAAAATTCATCCGATCGAAGAAACGCGGTACAAATAATATCGGCACCCGGGGTTATTAATCGGACTCCGCCATTTTGTTCACCGCGTTAAATATACGCGTAAGAGGTTTTTTAGGCGCTCCGAACAATTAGAATGGAAAAAGGTGATAAAACGGGGTATCAAGCGCAGACAGAAACGAAACAAAAAGGACCGAGTGTATTTCCGGGGATCGATCGACGAACAGCTGCCGATACATCGCAGCTTCGTCGCGCACGTTCGAGCTGTTCGCTCGTTGTTGTCATAACGTCGGTCGTGCGTACAGAGGCGGTGGAATCGCTATTGAATCGGCGAAAAAATAGCGAGACGAGTTACACGCATCGCGAGCCGCGACTTTGTGATACCGCCCCATCGACCACCTGCGACATTTCGATCACTCCATTGTCCTCGTTGAAAATCTCCTATTTTTTATTCTATTTTATTCGCGCTCGGCAGCCAAAGGATAAATTGCGATATCGATATTTCCATGGGTGATGGATACATTTTACTCTTTTTGCAATTATTACGTCATTGTTACGGTGTTAGAACAGGAAGCTTTTTATCGAGTTGGAGTAAATTTTCTTTAAGTTGTCTCAAGTTTCAACTGCATCGATAGTTTTATGTGACGAATTTTTTTTGAGGACTTTTTTGAAGGTCCTCAAAAAATGTGCTTTTCAGTGTCCTCTGATATTTATTGAAGTTTCTTTATGTAAAATATTCAGTCATTTTATTTTACTATTTTTTATTATATGAACTTGACATGTGTTCAACAAGTAATTTGAAAAAATCGAATTTATTTTTCAACAAGGATTTTAGCAATTTGCTAAAATTCAGTTCAGTTTTCAAACAATTAACAAGATAATTTGCAAAAATCTAGTTGAGTTTTCAAGGAGCTAATTCAACAAAATAATTTGCAAAATATATTAGTACATTCTGTACCAGTTTATAATAATTAATGAACTCATTCATCTGCAGTTGTATCAGAGGAAAATGTTACATGTTTCATCGTTAACAGTTTTGAAGAAATTTCTGTATTTACCGGGTCTAAAAAGTAGTTTCGTAGAGAAGAAAAAGATACTCACTCATTTCCGGAATTCTGGTATCGTGACCGACTAGAAGCTGGGCCGCGAGCGAGGCCCGGTGTCCGGAAGTGCTCTCAGCCACGCACTCGTATCTTCCGCTGTCCTCAGGCTTTGCGGACGATATCACCACTTTCGATCTTCGTCTGTGAACAAGTAATAATTAATTAGATTTGATTAATCTACCTTAGAAAATATGTAGAATTGCATAAAATTTCTTTTGTTACTAATACATGAATTTATAGAATAAATAATAATTGGTCGAAACAACTTATCAATATTTTATGAGATAACATGAATGACTTATTTTGTAAGATACAGGTAAGACGATATGAAAATTGCAACTGCGTTGAAGTAGATAAAATAAAATTTCCTTATACAATTTTTTTACACCTAATTGTAAAGAGTAGTGAACTTTCACTAACATCATCATAAACTCTCAATAAACTAAATAAAAAAATTATCAAAAATAAAAAGTAACAAAATATCAGAAATGATACGAAAACCGCCTAAACAGTGAAATCCCCAAAATTAAATTGACCCTATTTCTTTTCATAAATCATAGTTAATTCGAATTTGCAGAGAACGCGGATGAAATATCATTTCAATTATATTTTGATTAACAGGTCTTTGTCTACCCACGAATGCCATTAGCCCCGTAGTAGGAGTCACAATGGGGTAGTAATTTCCTTCGGCGGTATTCAAACAAGTAACAAACAAATAATTGATGGAATTCCGACAACAGACTTGTAATTGTAACACAACGGATTGATAATTGCGCCGTTTGGCAAAGAAACAATTTGCGCGAGATAATCTAATGTGGGTCGGATAGAAGCGCGTCGAAAAGCGGGTTATCCCGTTTATTATCTTTTCAACGAGTACACAGCACTCGAGGATGGTTCGGCTCCAAGTCTCGGGATAAGATTCCGCGAAAGTTCGGGCAAACAGCAAGTTTTGCCTGCATCCGTGGGTACGGAAGGCTGGGACTGAAATTTCTGGACTTCTGTCCGGGGAAAACTCGTTTTTCCGTGCGAAGAAGCCGAAACTTCCAGCCGACGTTCGCGAACTTGCCCCCACCTGCCGCAGAGACGCTGGCAAATTTAATAACTTTTCGAACGTCGCGGATTACCGGCGAACGAAATTCCGGCGTAACTCAAATATCGATGACGATCGATGCGGGCTGCAAGTTCGCGCTGCCGTTTCCTTCCGTTTCTTCATTGCATTATGTCAGAAATTTCCTGAATCAGGCTTCGCGTTTCCTTTAGCCCCAGATTTAGCGGTAAATAAAATTGTTCCCCGCAATATTGAACCGATCGATTGGAAATATTGGAAGGACACTCGTCGAGTGGAACTCGATCTTGCGCCTCAGTTTTGACGCGCCCTGTATAATTAGGGAGTTGGCTCTCTTTCGTGCGCTGCACGTCTTTGATGTCGTTAAATGAACGAGAAAATTAGCTCGCGGGTTTCGAGCTAAATTCGAGCTCCTGCGCGGCAAACATCGCGTTGCTCGTCCTATATTCATCGCGCGCCCCCTGCCCCGCAATCGGCCTCGTATATACATACATTTATGTAAACACACGGTCCGTAGGCGCGCAACGGCAGTCTCGGTTAAGACCGCATAAAAGGGCCATAAAGGTCGGTTGTAAAGGGAAAAACTTGGACTTAATCCCGTGGCGCGAGCGCGCAAATTGTGTTCCAGGCTGCTCTTCGCTTTCATTACCTTTAACTCCATCGCCCTGTTTCAGCTTCCACCTGAGAGGGCAATTACCTCGTTCCCCTCTTACCAACCCCCTCTCGACCTCCCCCCGGTTTCGACGGACGATCTCTCAATTCTTTCGATTTGCTACGGGGCTCTCGCGAGTTAAAAGTTTCCTGCTGTTGAAATCTCCGCTCGAATTTCGCTACGGAGAACTTTGTTGGCCGGTTAGGAAATGGCCGATCGTAGCCGAGAAATAACTTGATTCAATTTTCGCGATAACTCCGGAGAGGTGGGATCAATGGGATTCTTTTGGGGCGCCGATTAAACGTTGCTCAACGGACCCGAAGCAATTTACCGTCCTGAAAATCATGCGCTTTCTATGGATTTATCAGATGTTTGGAGACCGATTATATTTATGATATTCGCATAGAAAAATATTTATTAATCACGGGGCTACAAGCTACAGCTTTTCTCTCAAAAATTAGACATCAATTTTTTAATCCAATTTATCTAATATTGGACCAAAAGTTATCTGTGACTCTTTCATTTAATATACCGCGTTACGAGTGCGTCATGAATTCGTCTGAGTGCGTCATGAGTGCGTCACGCATGCGATCGAATCCGTCATGAGTGTGTCGCGTATGCGTCTCAGTGTGTTATGAGTGCGTCACGAATGCGACTGAATACGTCACGAGTGTGTCACGAATGCGACTGAGTGCGTCACGAATGCGATTGAGTGCGTGTCAGTGCGTCATGAGTGCGTCACTAATGCAAGCGAGTGCGTCACGAATGCGATTGAGTGCGTGTCAGTGCGTCATGAGTGCGTCACTAATGCAAGCGAGTGCGTCACGAATGCGACTGAATGCGTCACGAGTGCGTCACGCATGCGATTGAATCCGTCATGAGTGCGTCACGTATGCGTCTCAGTGCGTCATGAGTGCGTCACGAATGCGACTGAATACGTCAT